ATCCCGGAAAGAATAGAGAATTGGTTGAAGTCACGTCATAATATCTTGGAAGAACTCGCCCTGCCCGTAAGTGAAGCCCCTCCGAGAAAATTTTGAGTATTCATGCAGAAGATAGCAAGCAAGTTCAAGTTTATACTTTTTGTCAGGCTTCACTGCTCTTCGTAAGCTTTTGGTTCGACATATCCAAAGCTGGGGACCATTCATGGCGGCAGCAAGGAATATGCAGCGACTCGAAGATATCACATTTTCCATAGAGAAAAGCGTAAGTATATAGACGCCAAGGTCATCAAATATAATGCTTAATCTCACGTTTAGGAGCTTAAAAGGACCGGGATTGTACCGGAGCCCCCCTTATTGCCAGAACTCACTTCCCTAAATGTGACGGTCTACGGATGCCGAAAACCTCCTTTCATCGACACGATTTACTATGTCTACGAGACGCTGGCTGCATCATCCAAGCTGTTGGAGACCTTAAGGATCAAGATATGGTATTCGGAACGGATCCATGAGTACGAAGGCGGGAAGATGGCCAGTCGCTTGCAATCACGGGCCCACAATACGCTCTTTAACTATAGATGATATGATTCTATCATTAGAGAGCCTGAGTCATCTATGTCTAAAATGTCCTAATTTGGAGACACTAGGATTTAGCGTCGCGAAGCGATCGAATATGGTGAGCTCTCCTTTCGTTTTGTCTGGGTGTGCTTTCTCAAATCAACCACGTATTGATTATAGGTAGCCATATCTACTGCACTGAATCTTTCGAACCGCCTATGCCGTCTTCGGCTGACGATGAGTAGAGAGCGCTCGGCTCGTACTTCATTCGAATTCTTTCACCTCATAAAGCAATATCTCAGTCAGTTAGTATATCTACACGTAAGGTCATACAAGGAAGGGCGTTTTATCAGTCAGCTGGAATACACCTTGTGGAAGGTGAGCAAATAGTCAATTGACCGACCAAGCTATTAAAAAAGAGCAGAAAAGTTGGTCATATGACCAAGTATCAACGTCACCAAGGCAGATGTTCAAGATGACCGGAAGTAAACCGAGCTCTTGGGATGCAAACCTCTAAGATAGACTTGGGTGTCAAGTGACAGGTAGACCCTGTAACCGAGCGTTCTCGATGATCAAAAAGGAATATAGTTCAATAAATACTGACCTACAGGTCTAACGGAAAGGGTCGCCATTTAATAGTTACCCTAGAGACCGGATAAGGGGAGGATCAGCGAGAGCTTGTAATACAATTGTGCTGAGAGAGACTTAAGCATACCATCCAACTGATCAAGCTGTTTGCTTTGATAAGAATAACGTCATAGTTCAGCTCTTGTCTTTGGTTAGGTAGATAGGGCCAGCCGGGTGGCATTCCCAATGAATTTGTTCGAGCAT